AACACCCTGACAGAAAGATTAGGCTCCTGCTAGCCAGCATTTGTCCTGCAAAAGTGGCTCCTTGTGCCATCTGTTGGATTTTGAAAGAATAATCTCTCAGGTTTCCATGTAAAGGTAACAGACTCCAGCAAGTACTTTCTGCACAGGGAAGGTGTTCACAATACTCCTTAAGGCAGAAATACTATACACATTGCATTTTACAAGTTCTTATGATGGAAATCACCAACAGTCTAGGATTCCCAGAGCCAGCTGATTTCTTTATTGTCAACCAGCCCAGGGAATTACAGTTGGCATTTAATATTTGCAGTATACTGTGTACTGTTTTATCTTTATACAACCTTAAAAACTAGAAACCTTTTCATTTTTATGGATAGGGAAACAACTAAGGTTAAGTGGCTGTTAAAGTTTCTGTGGTCCTAAGAAAGATGGTTTACATGGCCCACTGTTTTGTATATAGCAGACATTCCTTAAATAGTTGAATGATTTTTTTCAGTGTAAATAAATAGAGCACCATTCTTCTTCATACTCTGAACCTTTTACCCACTAGCCTTTTAATCGGCTTTTATCTTGTGGAAAAACAGAAAGCATTTCATTTATTTTGCCTGGATACACTTTCCCAGGGAAGAAGCAGCACAGTTCACTACAATGTTTCATTAACCCTCAAATGACCTCAAATTATCTTCTCTGTTTTCGAAACAAGTTAACTGGGGCTTAGCCAGAATTTAGGGCTCTTTGGGGTTTTCATCACACCACACCAAGACAGAGGACTGACCCAAGGCCTGTGTCTAGGAAGACCAAGTTGTGAGACCGAATGGTTAGTTCTCAAAGAACAACCATGGAGTCAGCTGCGTCCAGTGCACTGCTTGATCATCATAGTCCTGGGATGATGAGTATTAGGCATGTGGCAGGATGATACCAAATCCTATTTTCAAGAAGCCTGTGGGCCTGGCTTGGTGGTACATACCTGCGATCTCAGCTACTTGGACGGCTGAGGCAGGAATATTGCAAATCTGAGGCCAGCCTGGGCAACTTGGAGAGAGCTTGTCTCAAAATAAAGGGGTGCGGATACAGCTCAGGGGCAGAGCCATTGCCTACCGTGTGCAAGGTCCTGGGCTCAATAATAATAATAATAAAAAGCCTGTAGACTTTTACGGAACAGATGAAACAGACACAGTGAAAGTGAAATATCAATCAAAAGCATAAAAAAAAAACCCTCATATAAGACAGCAGTGGTTATTTAGTGACTAACACAGGCTATGAGAGTTCAGAAAGGGAGAGATTACATTTGCATAAGTGAATGCTGACCTCAGTATGAGTTACCGTGAAGTTTGAGAGAACACCTTGTCTCAGTAGCACCCTTCCTTCCCAAGAGACTCAGGGAAATAGAGAAGGGGTTTTATAGGAAGCGTAGCAGGGGATGCAAGGAGAAGGCCAGAGACCTGATCGCCAAGATAGGCAGGACATGTGCTGGGAGACCTCACTTGGCTACCAAACTTTGACTTCTCACATTTCTGGAGACTGGAAGTCCAACAGCAAGCTGCTGGCATCTGGTAAGGGCCTTCTTGCGGGGTGGAAGGTTAGAGGGTGAAAAGGGGGAGAGCTGGATTTCTCTTTAAGCCGTAGGAGCCTCAAGTTCTTTGTAGCCTTCGCTTTTCAAAATACTAAGCTAGTTCTATGAGAACTTACCCAACCCTGGGTGGTTCTCAACCTTGGCTACTCATGAAAATCACCAGGGGAGTTTTAAAAAAATACCATCACTGCACCCTTCCCCCGCTACTCTAATTGGCCTGGGTTTCTTCTTTGGTGATTCTATCAGGCACCCAAGTTTGAGCATCATTGACCCAAAGGGTTCCTGGATATGGTAAAAGAGAGAGCGATTTGCTGGAATGAGCAAGCTGTCTTGGAGGAGCAGGGAAAGAAGGGTGTTTCCCTGCTCCAACTTAGAGAAATATCCTTGACTTCTGATTAGAAAGGAACTGGGCTCTGGTTTCCAGACAGCCCCACTGGGAAATGAGGAAGACTCCGTGTGGGGCTAGGCATGCAGCTCATGGGAGAGCATGTGGATAGCAAGTGTGAGGCTCTGGGTTTGGATCCTGCTACATCTCACTACACACACAAAAAAGGTGATACATCTAGGCCAGATCTCCGCACAATGGGATGTTCACTTGTATCTTGTTAAAATGTAGTTCCAGACTTAGCCCACCGGGATGGTGCCTAAGAATCTATATTTTTATAAAGTTACTTCTGGTCTACAAAGTGGCCTGGTGAGGCCAAATGTCATCTCTGTAGTATTCTTGTGTACATTTCAAGGATAGGACAGGAGGAACTACAGCCTGTTGAACTTGAAGGGTCCCCTAAGCAGGGACAATGGCCATTCCTTTGGCGAGCTGGTTAGACTGATGACTGAGAAGCAGAGGGACCCCATCTGCAAAGCCTTCTGGGGTTTGGGGGGGTATCCTGGCAGGGGTTCCTACATCAGGGTCCTGGCAGATCACAGATGGCCCACTCAAAGGGATCACAGAAGAGTTTCATGAAAGAAGTATTTACACAGCTGGGTCAGGGTTAACAGAAACAGCAAAGGATAAAGAGGCACCAGCCCTCAGTAGGGAGAAATAAAGAAGGGAAGAAGCAGTGATGGGAACCCTAGGAGAGCTCTAGGAAAGGGGTCCCTGAAGCAGCTGTTCCCATCTGAGAAACAGCCACTCTGGAGTAAATGACCCATCGAGGATCGACCAGGGGAATAAATACCCCAACACTGCTTTTCTCTGGCCCTGTCACTCCACCTAGAAACCAGACAGCAAGGGAAGGCAGTCAGTGCAGCCATTGGTCTGCCTCCTGGGCACAGAGCAGCATGAAGCCAGAAAGCAGATCTGGGCACTGACACATACAGAAATCCTAGTGCAGTCCCCGACAATGAGCTCCCTGGAGCCTCAAACTCAGTCAGGAATGCAATTGGTATAGAAAATAAAGACATTGAGTTGGGCACATACATACAACTCTAGCCCTCTGGGCAGCTGAGGCAGGAGGATTCCCAAGCTCAAGCCCAAATCAGGCAATTTAGTGAGACTGTTCAATCCCTAGTGCTACCAAAACAAAGAACCCAGAGTTTGGGTCTCAGTCTAACCCCTTACCAACGGGAGTTTGTCTGAGTGTACCAGGCATTCTTATAAATGACAGATGGGTTGCAACCCCATGATTGGTGCTTTGGGGACAAAGGCCCCTGCTGGAGAACTGTCATGCAGAAGAAGGGCAGCCTTTCAGAAGCTGCTCCTGAGCTGCGCATGGTGGCACACACCTGTAATTCCAGCACTTCAGAGGCTGAGGGAAGAGGATCAGTGCGAATTTGAGGCCACCCGGACTACATAGTGAGTTCAAGGCCAGCCTGAACTGCATAGCAAGACCCTGTCTCAAAAAGGGGGCGCGGGCAGGTATTTAGCTCAGTGGTGCCACCATCTGCCTCACAAGCGCAAGGACCCCAGTTCAATTCCCAGGACAAAAAAAAAGTTGCTTCTGATACCAGGAATATGTAGAAAACAAGCCAGGGGCACCTTGAAGTCAACTAACAGGCAGATGGAGAAGGAAAAGAAATGAATGCAGCCTTGGTAGAGTTTTCTGGCAGTGCAAATGCTTCTGAGCTTCTCAGAAAAAAACAGTGACCGGGTGAAAAAGTGCCTTTAGGCAGGGTCTCTACCTCCCACTTTGAATTTTGTGAAAACACACCTAAACTGCTGACCCGCCCCCTGGAGACTTCAGTTTGGGGAAAGGTGGGAATCTGATTTACCTAGAACACCTCTTTGGGGTTCCTGACCTAACCTGTGCGAACGGAGCCAGGTGTCAACTGGGAGATGTCAGTGGTGCCTTCTCAGCCCCAGACAGATAGACAGCTGGCCAGCTCTCAGGACAGCAACCACAACTCCAGCTGGTACTGCAGGGCTCTTTGGGAAGCTGGGGCAGCTCCTTCTGCAGGATCAGGGACAGTAAGTCATCAAGGCAGAAGGATTCTCGACCCTGCATCTGACCACAGGCATCTTGATTTGCCATCAGTGCAGGGGCCTGGGGATAAATTGAGATAAACTGAGCTTTTGAAAGCGAAGGCAAAGTTATATGAATGGAGTCTAGAGCTGAGTATGTGGTACATGCCTGCAGTCCCAGCACTGGGGAGGCTGAGCCAGGAGGATCACTGCAAAGTTCAAGGCCAGCCAGGGCTGCACAGAAAGCTCAAGGCCAACCTAAGCTACACAGCAAGACCTTGTCTCAAAAACAAACAAACAAACAAAAAATGGAGTCTTGGTCTTCTTGACTGTGAGCTTTTTATTTCTCAGGCTGCCTGAGTGTTCCAGAAAATGAAGGGTTTTTGTCACCTTACTGAGCAATGGTTAAAGAACTGAAGCAACAACTAGTCCTGACCATCTGACCTTGTTCTAGGACCTTCTACACAGTGCCGAAAATAAATTCTTGGTTAATTAAAAAGTAAAAGAAATTAAGTGTGACAACAACAAAAAAAAAAAAAAAGAGAGAAGAAAGCATGAGCAAATATTGAATTGATCCTAAGTTGACTAAAACCTGCGTAAGCAGAAGAGCAGAAAGAAGAAACGATTAGATCTGAAACGTGTGAACAGATAATGTGAAAAAGTCACTATGATTTTTAAAATCATCAACTACAATGAATAGGAAACAAGTTGGGGCAAACATTTGCCTCAAATATAAGCTATGGTTAACATCCCTAGTTTAGAAGAATAAAGAAGAAATAGACGACCTTCTCAACAGAAAAGTCCTAACAGCACTCGCAGATGAGGAACATTAATTAAAATGATAGTGAAATAAGACAAAAGACTCCATTAATTCTTTTGGACTGACCGGGACAGGACAAAAACAGAATATTCTCGTACTGTCAAAGGGGCAACACAAATTGGTTTGACTTTTTCAGAGGCTACTTTGGTCATAGATTTTGTAAACCTTAAACTATGCAAAACTTTTGATCCAGCGATTCTTCCTCTAGGCATTTATCTAAGGAAACAATCAAAGATCTACACAAAACCTTATCCAAAGCATTGTTTGCTGCGGTGTTAGGGTGAAAAATGAGAGGAAGAATCACGAATGCTGATTTGGGTGAAAGTTGCTAACCAGTGCACAGAGGAAGTGAGATGAACGTTTTGAGGGATTTAAGAGGTAGGTAGTAAGAGGTGACTAGAAACGTCTAGTTAGGACAATTTCCGGTCGAGTATCTCCCGGTTTCTTAGCTTTCAATCACATTTGCCCCCGTCCTATAAGCTTGTTCCCTACACCAAAGCCACCTCTCAGCTGGCTGTGGCTGGCTGTCGATGGCACCTGTCACTTTTCCAAGCTGTCTCTTGGAAGCCAAGTAGGTGCCTCAGGAAAATACTCCCAAACCTAACCCTTACCTACTTCATGATCTTTCTGTCCATTAATAACCATTCATTCATTTAGCGGTACTAGGAACTGAACCCAGGGCCTTCGCACTAAGTCGCGGAGCTTTCCAGGCTGGGTTCGAACCTGTGCTCTTCTTGCCTCAGCCTCCCAGAGTGCCGCGATTACAGAGTGTACCACCACGACCCGCTCTAGCATCGCATTTGAACACACAAGAGAACAGAGAAAGTCGAGCTACTCTGTATGCTCACCGCAGAGCGAACCCTGGGGTGACCGGCGGCCCAAACCCGCGGCCCTGCAGCCCAGTACACAACCGCCCTAGCCAGCCAAGGCGCGGCTGCCCCAGGAGAAGCCAGGGGCCGGAACCCGAGCACTCAGTCACCGGCGAAAGTCTTTCCCTGGAACCCACCGACCCACCACCGAGAGGAGCGCCTAGAGCGGCCGGCCCCGCCCTGCCGCGCAAACCGCTCCGCCCCGCCGCCTCTATCCCGGAAGTTGTGCCGAGTGCCAGTTCGCGTGCGACTTGCCCCTGGTACGGTCGTTTGAGTGGTCGGGAC